AGGCCGGCGGCCCGGGCGGCCATTGGGCGGGCCCGGACTGCCGCCCAGGCCCCATCCAGGCCCGCTCCAAGGAACGCGCCGCACCGTTTTTCGCTAAGGTCGTTATTGTGAAGCAAAAGGCAGCAGGGCTGGCTTATTTTTTCTTCTCCAAAGTACAAAATACCGCAGCATCCCCCCTTCCCTCCCCAGGAGGACTTTGCAGGAAGCCTTCCTCCTCGCAGCAGCAGCAGCAAACGCACCCACTCAAAAAACACAGCTCATCCCTCCATTTTCTGTGATAGCAAGGCTGGCTTGAGGTTTACCTTTGGTCAGCACAACTGTGCAAAAGGAAACTGCCTTAGTGAACTGTAATGTTAAAAAAAAAACCACAGGTGAACTACAGCTGAGTTTAATGGGGCAGTTTCATCACAGGAGTACTTCTGTCGGTGTAACAGAGGGGTGAGAGAGAGGAGAAGGGGCTTTTGGAAAGGCGAGATTCTCCTTACTGAGAAAGCAAAGCTGAAACTAAACCTCATCGGTTTGACATGCAGAGGGCTTTCTGGAGAGCTCGTCTTGAAGCTTGTAGGGAAGAGGGTGGAGGGGAGAAGGGTTAAGACACAAAGATCAAGTTGTGACTTTTTTTTTTTTCCTACATAGTAGCTCTAAGAAGAGTTAGAGCACCCCATTCAAGCTATTTTTCCACACTGAGGATTTCTGACACCACTGTGGCTCTGGGAGCACAACACAGTTGTGTCACAGAGCAGAACACAGGCACCAGCAGCTGATTTTGCACCAGACAACAATTTAACAATTACAGGCAATTACACTTCAAACAGCTTCCTGATGGGATACAGTGTGGATGACAGCTTTGTGCAACAAAGCCTGTGGGTGAATTTTTAGTGGTCCTCACTTGCTCAGCATCATCGAGATGATACTGATGTATCTCGCTGGGAGAGACGACAGAGAGGGAAGCACTACCACTGCCTCTGAGCCAGCAACATCCTGCTGACAGAATCAAGCCCACAACGACACTGTCTTTTTGTTTCCCATTACTGGAAGAAGAAATTAGTTTTGGAGGCCATGCAGCTCTTAAACTGAGGAAAGGGCAAGAAACCCTGTCTTCGGCATAAAGCTTCAGCTCTCCTCCTGCCACAAGAATTCCCACTCAAAAATAATCACTTTCAATTTGTGTTATTAAAACTCTTACTTGTTGCAGGAGAAGGTGAAATATCCCACCTTCTGCCCTTCACCTGCAGCAGCTGTTTGCCACTTACCTGCTGCACCTCACCCCTGACTGGAACCAATACACCTGTGTGCACAGCCCCCACTGAAATGCTCCACATTAGAACAAAAAAAAAAAAAAAGAGGATTTTAAGTCCCATTTTCAGTTCAGGCCGTCAGAATGGCACTGACACAACTGAAGGTAGAGGATATTTTATTGATTTTTTTTTTTTTTTTTTTTTTTAAAATCAGCATTGCCACTGGAGAGAAATGAAGCTACCAGCCTTTTGCTAAGAGCGGTCATCAATTAGGTCCGATACAGGAAAGGGAAGTCCCCTGCACCCCAAAGACACTTGAACACTAATGCGACTGCGCAAATGCATCATTTTAAAGACCAGTTCATACTCTCATAAACCAACAACCAAGAGGAACATTCTTGACACTTCACAAAAGAATACAAATTCTAGTTTACTGAGCTCAGTTTACAGGTATTTTTGCAAGCATAGGATGTGCTGCCAGTAACGGATGCTGTGACTGAAATCTTTAACTTGCATTTATTATCAAAGTCGTACTGTTTACATCTGTAATGTCAACAAGATGCCACAACTACAAAAAAAGATTGTGCACATTGCAGTTTCAATGCAAAAAACAGTAAAATGGAAATCCATTTGTTAAAAAAGTAATTAAAATTACTCCAGAAAGCAACTGAATTGTTTTAACACCTTTACATCCAGTCAAATTAAAATGGTTAACAAGAAAAAATACAAATTCAAAAAATCTGGTATCAGTGTTAAAAAGGCAACTACTTAAGCATTTCTATCAATTCGCACATCAATCTCCCTCCCACGAAGCTGTATCCCATTCATCATACGGCAGGCTCGCTCAGCTACTTCTGGGGACTCGAATCTAACCACACCACATCCTTTAGATTTCCCATTCTCCATCTTGATATCAGCATACAGCACATGACCTTAAAAAGAAAAGAGAGGGTCTTGTTTAACCCAGCAGGTACCACATAACTCTCTCTCAAATCATAGTTCTCTACCTTAAGCCACAGAAAGTATACCTTTAGAAGCTACCGTTACTTTGAAACTTAAAGCTGCAGCACAACTTTACCAAGTCATTGTTTTAAAGAAGTGTTCTCAGTTTAAGAGATGAATTAATTCAAACTGGTTCTCTCAATTCTCGGTCAAGCAGCAGCACCAGAAGTAGATGAATGGCACAAAGCACAAGCTAACAAGCCTTGTCAATGTGTCAACGCCCACTTCACATCATAACTGATGAGGCTGGGACTTGGTTTTGCCATCAGATGAGCAGCACAAGATATTGGGGAGCAAGGTCTGGGCACAGCAACTACTGCCATGAAAAAACTGCCTGAAGCTGAACAGCACACCTCAACAGTCAGCAGCTGAATTCAGAATTTTTTCAATTAGTTTAAGGACAGTTTTCCCAGACAACTATGCTCATTTAGATGTAAAAGAATCTGTGCAGGTGCTTTTCAGCAGTTCTCAGGACTTCCATATCTCTATTCCTATCTCTTTCTGCAACTACAGAGAGGCTATCCACATGATAAACCCAGCCCCTGAGATGGAGAAGGGAACAAATGCTCAGAAAAAGCACGTGTTAGCTGGGTTATCACCTGGCCAGGCATTTCTTTCTTTTCAACACTGCAGAACTCTTGCTGGTATAGCAGAGATAGTAAACATCCTCACACCACTCGTCAATGTTGAGATCTAGTTTTTCAGTAAGTCTGAGTGAAATTTTAGTTAAGATACTAGTGTCAGGGACATACAGAGCCACGACTTACTGTTTAATTCATACTCAATTCTCAGATTAATTACCAGTGATAAAGTAACTTACCACATTCATTAAATTTATCTTTCAGCATTTTCCATGTAAAATCAAAAGGCAGCTGTGAAGAGAAAAAGAACAGACCATTACTGAGGATCCGTTGAACAACTTGCAAGCCCTGCCAACTCTTCAAAACATGCTTTCCATCCTGGGACAGCCATTGTTCACCATCTTCATTTACAGATGAAGAGAGCTCTTCTCCTGTTAAGGAAATGGCTTCAACTCACAAAAGCCTACCTAACTCCACCTTTGGCAGCATCCAGTATTAGATATTCTGACTGAAGTCAACCGAGCACAGATGAGATCAACATGTCAGTACCAATTAATTTCATGATCTGTGAAGGAGAGGTAGGAAGAAGGCTACTCACATTTCTCACAAATATCTGACAGGCTTTTCTGGCCACCCCAGCTGCAGGTCCTCCAGTTCCTCCAAGGGAGCCTGCAAAATTGCCTGCAAAGTTTCCACGTTCCATGTCCATTGTTCTTTCAAAATTGCTTCCCATTGCAAGTCCCATTCGATCTATGCCTGCTCCCATGCCCTGTCCCATAGCAGGACCCATTCTTTCCATGTTAGTGGCTCCAATGCGCTCCAAGCCCATTCTCTCCATGCTAGCAGCACCCATACGATCTATTCCTATTCTTTCCATAGGAGTGGCACCTATGCGATCCAAACCAGCTGGCATTCTCTCTATCACCTGACCCATTCCAGTTCCCATTCCAGCAGGGACCATACGCTCCATACCTATACCCATTCTATCCATGCCAGAACCCATACGTTCTACGCCTGATCCCATTCTGTCCATAGTGGTGCCAACGCGGTCAATGGCAGCACCCATTCTCTCGATACCAAAGCCTATTCCAGAACCCATTCTTTCTATGCCAGAACCCATTCTCTCAATAGCTGGGCCCATCCTCTCGATGTTAGGAGCGATGTGATCTATGCCCAGAGGGGCCATTCGGTCAATTCCTGAACCCATTCGCTCCACGTTGGAGCTCATGCGATCTAAAACAAGACCCATCCTGTCTATTTCTGACCCTACTCTCTCCATCCCATGCCCCATCCCGGAAGGTATTCTTTCTATTCCCGAGCCCATACGATCAATGCCAGGTGCCATCCTCTCAATCCCAGGAATGCTGGCATTTCCACCACCTGGAACACAACACAGATTATCAGTAGTCATACAGGGACAAACGAACCTAGTGCATCCTTACACTACTGAAATGCTTTAAGCTCTATCATTACTCAGAAAAGCGACTGCAAGCTGTGCGCTCTGTTGCAGCACAGTATGAAGCAAAGTTTTATTTCAGATAGTAAGAAGAGTGCCATTGTTGATTATACAGACAATCACAACTACAACACATGATTTAGCTGGGGCAGTCATCTCATCAGACCACATACTACAGCTGGGATGGAGAAAAGTTTATACATTAGCTAAGGAGCTTAACTTCTGTATGCACAAAGAAAGCCTTCCAAAAAAAAAAAAACCCAAAGGAGAAAATTTTGAAGGAATATGCAAACCTAGGAGAAGATTAGGTGGCAAAAGTAGTACTTTAAATATAATCTTAGCTGCTAGCTGCCCTGTGCAGTACACTGGGGAGTACACAGCAAGAGTAGTCCTTTAGTAACTGAAATTACAGTTCAAATACAGATTGCTTGGAAGAGAAATGAAATCGTATCATCCTTGCCACACAACTCAAACATTCCTTCTGCCAAGCCAGGGAGAGACTTTTACAAGAAAAGTTTGCCCAAACCTAAAAGCCCTCTCATCACCAGAACTCCAAGAAAAATACAGCAAATTCCACACAAGAACCACAGCAGAATGACCACTATAAAGTCACAAGCATGCTTGGCCTTTTAATGTGGAAATAAATATAAAAAGGTTGCCTATGCCATAAAACACAAGCAAGAATAGGGTTTCTATATCTGGTACATAAAATCTTTTGACTTAGCTGTCCTGGCACTGCTACAATCTTTTGAGTTCCCGCAGCAAAAGGATCACTCCCCTATAGTTTAGGCTATTTTGCTGTTGTACAAAGGATCTTAGCTTATCTATCAAATCAAGTTTTGCACTGCAGTTTGATTCCTATTTGAGGGGAAAAAGTCTTGAAGAAAATGCGTACTTAAATTATCTACATATATTTAATGATGAGAAGCAAGATTACGTAACCTTAAGATGAGCCAAGAAAACCAAAGCAACCACATTTATGAACAGCACTCATCCTGCTTCAGTATTCTGAGCTTCAGTAGTACCTCAAATAACACAGACGGGTTTGGGGTTACGTGACATTTATACTTGTGCAAGCCAGTTGGCGTTTTTGGGTTTTTTTTTTTTATTAAATGAAGAAACAACAGTAATGAACATTTAGTATTTCTTCAGCTGAAAGCCAGCAGCTTTGTGCATTTGTTTTTAGCCTCCCAGAAAAGGGCTAAACCTGTGCAGGCAGGCAGAGCCAACTCTTGGTTATTAAATGTTGTGATTCAGTCATCAAGCAAATAAAATTAATTCTGTAAATTGGGAACCAGGGGGGAAGTCTGCCTACTTTGAGATATTTGGGTTCAGCTTTGTTTTAGAAATTCTGCAGTTTTGGACTATTTCAGTAATGAAGTACTCAATATTTCCAGACAGTCATTGGGCAACTTGCTGGGAAGTTAAATGTTATACAGGCAGCAGGAAGGAGCAGGACTTTGTTTTCAGTGAAAACAAAAAATCAGTATCTTACCAGTAGCATTTAAAAAATGGACAGCTGCCAGCAAAGCTGACAGTCTAAAAATATTTTTTTTTCTAGTCTGTCAGTAATCTTTTTTCCGAAGTGTTTTAATGTGTAATATTGCTTATCTATTTAAAGAGTATCTCCCTCAAAACTATTTTTTATTGCCTTATGCAATATATATATATACAAAAATAAAAGTGAGTTACCATAACTGAATTGCTGCTTTAAAGGCTTTGAGTTTTTTTGAAGGCTGTATTTGCTTTGCAACCTTAATTTTAAGGTAAGGGTATTTTTGTCTTTTTTTTTTAATGACTTATAAAAAAAGATCACCTTTCCTTGAATACAAGATCCAATTTTTATAGAGTCATCTGAATTGTGTCAGCAACAGTGTACTGCATTTCACTTCCTTTAAAAAGGAACTTAGGTTGTATCAAAATTAACAGAGCACAGCAATAACCGAGCAATCTCAGGAACTGGCTGAATCAAGCTGTACACACACAGAACAGATGCTCACAGAAGACATTAAAAATGTTCAAGTTCTGAATCTTTCCACAAAGCATGATTAATACGTTTTGCCATCTCAAAGCTGTTACAGACAGAACAGCAATGCACTATCCTTGCTCAGTTCAAGTAATATTTTACACCAAGTTATTTGCTATATTGATAGTCTTCCTTTTCCCACTGGGGTTCAAAAGGAAAGACCAACAGAACACTAATTTTAGTGTTGCATGAGTTGCACAGTAAGGCGTTCTCTTTGGTCATCTGATGTGAGTCTATACCAGATTCCTAAAATGTCTGTGAGGAGAGGAAGGCAATTAAGGTTTCACCATGTTTTTCCTCCCTGCTGTCTAGGCCACAGACTACATTTTAGTGACAGGATTGGGTCATGCATCACTCAGAACCTTCCTCTTTGCCACACACATATACTGAAGTTCAGCATGAAGTTTCAAGACACAAGGCAGTGTATTAAGACTGTCAGACAGTTTCCTGTCACAACTGAAATTACACAGCCCCACAGATCACTACTAGTGTATCCACCTGCCTTCTGTACAGCTCTGAGGAGTTTGATCAAAACCAAACTATTACAGCAAATATATATAAAATGTAGTCTGTTTTGTTATAACAAACCACACAATTTTTATGTACATTTCAGTTACGAAAAGCAGGCAGTAAAAGTACTTAGCTTATTATACTTACCTATTCCTCTCTCCAAGGTCTCTCCAAAACTACGAGACATTCCCATTTCATTTCTTCCAAATTCTCTCTCAAATCCTCCACCCATGGCACGATCCATCTCTGAAAAGATTAAGTTTGATATGTTCTTCAGGGTGTCTAAATGACTCCTGAGAGAATGTTTTAATACAGGCATAATTTTTAAAGATTAACAGCAAGGCAAGTTTTTAATTATGTTCTCCTGATCATTTTATCATGTCTTCTTGAGACCAAGAAAACAACAAAAAGCAGGATTCATCTCAATATGGACAAACACATTTGAGGCAGCCACTTCGCAATGGAGAAGCCTTTCTGGTGAATCGAGATAGAGCACAGTTTATCTCTTTCTAAACTAGTCCTTCAAGACAACCTCAATGCATCACTTGTCTTCTGCAGCTCAGAGGCCACGAGTGACTTGCAGACACCATGTCAGCTGTAAGCTTTAAGTTTTGTCCAATAAAAGCTGAGAAGATGAAAATGACCAGTCTAGAGAGTCTCTCCAGTGTTACACTTTCAGACAACCCAAGTCAGGAGTCGGATATACAAAAAAACCTAATGCCTACCACTCATTCTGCCCATGTTCATTCCAGCTGGGAAGCGACCAATGTTTTCCATGCCACCAAAAGGACCTTCCATTCCTAAAAGAAAATATTTTTCAAGGATTCTTTAGCAATGCATTTCAACTTAACACTACACTTCACCCACATAAGCTGCTTTCACAGAACATTTCCACAGGCACCAAGACAACTCTGTACCACAGATTCACAAAACAAAATTTGGTCAGAATTTTGTCACACCATATCTCCTAAACCAAGGGCAGCTTTTAACAGGTCACATGACAAAAACATTGGTCATGTTTTATCTGAAGTATTAACCCTTCCCCACACACCTACAGCAGTTTTATTAATACTCAAAAAGGAACAAGTTATTACTAAATTGGTGACGATTTCCAAGAACACAAATGCCTGATAGACACATATGGCTAGGTTTACATGACTTTCAGAAAGCCCAAGCTATAGACATGTCAAAAAACACAGCTTACCTCCCATTTTATTCATTCCAAAGCCCATGCCTTCCATTCCCATTCCTCAAAATAAAAGAGAAAGCTTTATATAGCAGATGTAATTCTACAAAAGTTCAGCCATTAGACTGGCTGTAGAAATAGAGACCATACAACATGTCCATTGTTTGGACTGAAGAGCTTACAAGTGACAAAACTCTGAGTAGATTGCAACATTCCTTCTCAGAAAATAAAGCAGCAAAGGGGAAAAACCCATAGGCATTTATAAATTGAAAGCTGAATGTGTGCTACTTTTTAGGTGGCTCTTTAAAACTTGTGCTATTTAAACATATCCTAAACAAAGATTTGCAAGCCCACTAATAAGTGTTAAAAGTGACAGATGGTTTTAAAAGTTTAATGTATATTTGCAGTGTCTGCTGCTCATGCTCAAGAGTCAGAAAATGAGAGCTGTGCCTTGACCACAGTGAAAAAAAATGGAGCAGTTGGTTAAATTCAAGTTTCCATTATCAAGCTCATTATTTAGCTCAACAAAAACTCATTTGGCTTTAACACTCCTAAACACTTCAACTTTTTGTGTAGGCAAAACAAAGCTATCTACCTTCTACATAGCTTAAAGCTCTCATGAAACAAAAGCATAGGAGTAATCTTCTTACCTCCAGGTCCCATGTTGCCCATTCCCATGCCTTTGTTTAAATGATTTGCATCAATAGGTTGACCTCCAGGTCCTAATCCCATGCCAATACCACCAAGACCATCTGAAGAAAATATTCAGATATCAAAAAAGCCTTCTTTCCATAGTTTGACAAAACAGCAAGTTTTATTCTTAAGTAATTGACTTCCATTCTCCAAAAAGCTTGCTGTGTTCCCACTTTGGGGTGTGTACTTAAAGCATGAAAGTGTATAGTAAATCCAGAGTAGATGTGTCTTGAAATATACTAAAAACTATCTCAAATATTTTTTCTCATAATCCATTTTCCATCTTACTACTGAGAAAACTTGCTTGTTTGGTTGGTTTTAAGCTGACTCCTGAAAAATAACTGGCTAGAACACTGCTTATTTTGTGCAACTCCTCAGTCTAAGGAGAATAGAGTGGGCAATTTAGTATAAAGATCTTCTAACCTTTGCACAATATTACCCTTGATTGACAAATGGCTTATTTCCACCTTTGCCAAGGTTCTCCCCTTGTAGGTAAGAATTTAACCACAAAGTTCAACCTATCATTATGATAGCCACCTATAGAATTCAGAGCACACAGCCAGCCTCTTCTCTGAGCAAACAAAGTATATCATTCCCAGGCATAATTTTGAATCTTCCTGTACCCAAATGAATTAAGGATTCCCCAGTCCAAAGAAAGAAGAAAAAGCCCTCATATTTTCCTTATGGTTAATCAGGAAGAAAGAGTTCTCTGCTTGCACTTGCATCAAACAACAGGTTAATGGCATTCTTTGCCTATGAGAAGAGGACTTCCTCATTTACAGCTCAGCATAATAAACACAGGAAGTGTTGAATCTTGTTTTAAAACAACACAAGATACCCCTTCCCCACCCCAATACAGGCCAAGAAACAGGCTTCCATTGGTATTTGTTGAGTTTTATACAAAGATAATTAAACTGGAACCCAGTGACTTTCTCTTGAAAAAGAGGTATACCATTATAGAAAGTCAAGGCAGCAATAACAACCATGAATGATACTGCTGCTAAATAAGGCTTTGACAGATACACAGAAAACTGAACTAATTAAGGGATAAATGGATTGATGATCACTAAAATTGTGCAAGTTAGCAGCACACAACAGGTTTGGTTCCCACGCCCAAGAAAACAGCAACTGGCTGAATTAACAGAATTACGTTAACAGCCACACTTTACATTTGTGCTGTATTTAAATTAAGCCTGTGTTCTCCCACGTCTAGCTCTTCCCTTCCAACCCAGACTCTTCCTGTTCAATACTTTTAGGATCTTATCACAGCATGGTTGAGGTTGGAAGGGACCTTTGGAGGTCATCTGCTCCAACCCCACTGGCTCAAGCAGGGTCACCTAGAGCTGGTTACCCAGGACCAGATCCACACAGCTTTTGAATATTTCCAAGGATGAAGACTCCACAGGCTCTCTGGGCAACCTGTTGTTCCAGTACTCAGTCACCCTCACAGTAATGTCTCCTTATATTCAGATGGAGTCTCCCGTGTTTCAGTTTATGTTTACTGCCTCTTGCCCTGTCACTGGGCACCACTGAAAAGAGCCTGGCTCCCTCTTCTTTATACCCTCCCTTCAGGTATCGATATATATTTATAAGATCCCCTTTAGAAACTTGAAGACCTGGAAGATTCTCAGGTCCTCAATTTAGCCCTTTCAATTGAAGGAAAAACATTACATACCCAGAATACCATCAAGTAAAAGGAGGCACATGTTTCCCTATTGACTGATTAATTATGTTTCCGTTAAATCCTACTATTAACAGTAGTTTTACAAGGCATTGGGGTCTTTGAATTGCAACTGAGAGATCTGGAAGCCTTGAGAACGTGAATGGGATACTGTTTTAAGAGAAGCTTCTAGCTATGAGCTGAAAGAAGTATCCAAAAATAAAAAAGACAAGACTGAGCAGCTCTTCTTTACTATTTCCCCCTTTGATATTATTTAGACCATTTGGATCCCAGCTTTCCAAAGTTTGGACCAGAGTCTTACTGGGGCTGGGATTGGACCCCAGTTGCTGAACAGCAAAATAAAAAAATAAAACATGTTCAGTCATGCAGGAGAGACTTACGAGGAAGTTGTTGGGGTCGCTCTGGAGGAAAGAAGTCTCCTTTGGGAAAGGCTCGTTCGTCCTAAACACAATTCAATACATTAAAGTTTGCAAGAAAAGAAATTCTTTCTTGCCCCCTCCCCTTTTTTTTTTTTAAATTAAAACCACACAAACTTAAACCTAATGCAATCTTCACTGTACTTATGATTGTCTTTTAGCAAAATAATCAGAATCAGCCTTCCCCAATGGCATGAGTTGGCACCAGGAATTAGGCAACTCACACACACTTCCCCCACCATATTTCAACCCAACCTTGAAACCACACATCATCCAAAATCAGGAGCACAATTACCAGTTCAAAGAGCAGTAAGCATTTGAACGTACTTACCATTTTTACATGCATCGGTCTGTCAAACAGCAGCTGTCCATTAAACATCGCTATTGTTTCATTAAGGATCATTGTTCAAGCACTTAAAGCTTTAAGACTTTGTGTGGTTCAAGTGCTATCTGATGCAGAGTACGAAAACCTAGTCAGAAAAGCACACCTCTCCAGGTCACTTCTTAAACTATCATTCACAGATTATCACAAGTCCCCCTGCCTTCTCTGAAACTAAAAAGCTTTGAAATCCAAATAACTGAATATTCAAAGAATGGCTTTTTTAAATTAAAACACAAGTTAAAAATACTCTTCTGGTTAAGACTAAGTTCATTAAGAGATCACTCAACATGCAACTCCAAACCAGCCTAGCTGTTGAAATGTTTCATCAGTAACTTTAGCCATTTAAAACAGGAGAAAACATGCAAAAGTTCTCAACATTTCCAAATCAACAAATAACCAGATTTTGAAGTATGCCATGCTAATGAATCATGTGAAATTTCTGTAAGTCTTGCTCCCACAAGGCTCAACTTTTTAGGTGCACATGCAGAATGGAATTAACATTCAAACAGAAACTTGGGGGGGGGGGGGGGGGGGGAGATATTTTTCTCCTTTCTATACCATAGCCATGAGTAGAGACATCATGCACACAGTAGTATCTGTACTTTGTTGTTGGTTGGTTTGGCTTTTGTCAATTGCTATGTAGCAAACCATCGCTTGCACAGTGTAAGAATACAGGCAACAGAGGAACATGCTAAGTCAAGCCATCTTACATTGCAAACAGACTTGTTGCATTCCTCCCTTACCTTCATCACAGGAATTTAAGACAAAACTTTTCTCAGAAGTTGCACTTTAATACTAGCTACAACCTAAAGACAGAAATTTATTATTTGGGCTAGAAACACATGTGGGAAAGAGAATCCACTTTATTAACGATTCCGAGCAAATAGCAACAATTCTTTCAAGATGGACTTTTTTCTCTTTTTCAGTTTTCCTTACGTTTTCCATCCACTGCAATGGCTTGACTTTCTGTGATATGGCAATAGTCTCACTTGTAATACTACAATTTCTATTTTCATCCTGCTTTGTTTACCAAGTCATTTGCCTACTATTTACCATCATTACTCTTCAAGGATACATATAGCCTGAACAGCCTCTATAGCTTGCTCAAAAGTGACAGTGCCGATCCCACGACTTTTGCCATCTTTATCTTCTAGTATGTCTGCCCGAACCACAACACCGGCCATGCTGAATACTTCTTTCAGTTTCTTCCAACCAACCTTGTAATCCAACTGGAAGACAAGTGATATTGGAAGCATGAGAAAGATTTCCATCAAAAGACAGCTTTAGTGTTCTTATGTTTCCTTTCCCAGTAACAGCAATGTTAAGAAACAAAGAGTCTTCACAGAGATGGATAAAATTTAAATAGCATAAAGAATGCTAGAGCTTAATGCAACATTCTTGGCTTTGTTGGGAAATACAAATTAATAGACACCGTAACAAATTAATAGACATTTAATTTACAACTTCACTAGCACAATCAACAAGACTAGCCACAGAGTAAGTTACTACTCAGTTTTACTGGAATAGAGTTGAAAGTCTAAGGCTTTTCTTCTTATTCATTAGATTTAACTCAGTTAAGACCCAGATATTCTGTTCACAGATTACACAGGACTTACATTTGCAACAAAGACAGTGCTTCCAAGTCTCCCTGCCTGTAAGGCATGAATGATCTCATTGGGTATGTTGGGATTGTTGAGTATACTAGGCGGGATATTGATCATGCCGGGGCCACCCGGGCCTGGACCAATACCCATTCCACCAGCTGCTGCCATGACCTTCTGCATTGCTCTCCTGGCATGCTCACCATCAGGATCCTGCAAAAACAGAAACAACATACTCCATTCCCTCTGGACTCCACTAAACATGTGGGGATTTAGTGGCATGATTAAAACAGTAAAAAGAGGAAGGGGTTTCCCTTTATAGAGGGCTATCTGCTCCCTATAGGTTTCCAGCCAACTATTTCACATACCATTGCCATCTACTAATTTATTTTCTTTTAATCAATATGCCAGCACCCTTCAAGTTAGCAAGGTATTCCTACTCATGCATTTCCCCCAGCTCTGAAAGTGTTTCTCTATTACTCAGTGCCAACAATAAACCTCACAGTTACATCTGTTCCAAAGACTGATAAACCCAAAATGGCATTGGAGAGGTTTTGGAAGACAAAACGCCAACTAACTCTTGGCATCTTCAGAACAATGCAACATTCATTTACCTTGCACTTGGACTTCTTTACAAGACAAGATACAGTGTGTAAAATTTCACGAATGTTGGTTTGGGCAATGCTTCCCCCCCCCCCCACTGGCTTTCTAACCCAAAAAAAACTTTTAATGTATCCCCCTATTACTACATAATCTCACGATTTTAAGACATGCCAGAGAACATGAAGCATAGGATGAAGAATTCAAGGAAGGAAATAAGATTAATTATTGTCACTTCACTTTATACTGAAAGTGAACGTAAGCACCTTCACAATACAAGGTGAACTCAGGTTACTTAGGTTGGAAACATCACACTGTATTCAGTGAGCAAAATGCACCAGCACTGCAAGACTGCTGAAGAAAGTGAAATGTCAAATAGAATTAATTAGTCAGAAATACAGATGCTTTAAAAATAAAAGCTATTTGAGTTAATTTGAATCTTGATCTGAATTTTAAGACTAAACAATAGCATGTTTTGAAAACAGGAGAAAGGATAGCTTTCACATTATTATTTCAGCTACAGAAAATCATAGTAGTCTGAGGTGGAGAACACATTAAAGTGAATACAAGTCACTTCTCAATTTAAAATTTCCTATTTCACTGTTAAAATAGGATATTGCTTAAAACCAGATTAGCTCCAACAGAAAGCCAGGAGTGGTTGTCATACAAACTAAAGTCTTCTGATCAGGCAAAGATCTGCCACAGGATTTTTATTATGCCACTTGAAGGCCTCCATGCTCCTCAGCAGTGACACAGCCGACACAGAGGTATGTACCAGACTGTTGGCAAAACCTGTGCTAACGGCCATCCACATTAATTCATTCCACACAGTCAGACTGGGGCACTTGGCTGAGGAAAATGTTGCTAAATTCCCTAATACTGGTAAAATGCTTCTTCGCCAATTTCAAGTATCTGAAATTGTCATCTGTCATACAGGCAGAAATATTCAAGTATGACAACAGTTTCATAAAGAGCTGGGCAAATTACAACCAACTCTTCTCAAGGACTAATACCAAAGGGCAACCTGACTTCAGTACCAATGGTGTATCATTAACACGAAAACTGACCCAGATGTAGCCTGTGGCCCACTCTCAACAGCTTTTTCTTCCAAGGGCCTCTCAGAAAAGTCAGTGCCTGATGACTTCCAGGTGCAACTATGTTCTTCTAACCTTCCATTTCACCTCTTCTTTTCTTTAAAGGGTAGCGAGCAGTCAATAGCACCAGAAGATGGCTTACACCCAGAAGCAGGCTGCTGCTCCCAGAATTCATTACTCTATTTACAGAATCTGCCAGATCTGAGAAGTGCTGCCACTTGCTGTCCCCATCCTTCTTCCCAAGTGCTCCTCAGACTACAGCAAGAAGCAGGTTACCTAGGGAAGACCTTCTGCACACATTCACTACCTTATACCTATGCAGACATCTTTCACCCCACACCATTAAGTGGGCAGGGCACAGCAGAATATGAAGCCTGCTTAGCCAAGAACATAGCTCGCATACTTCAGTGTTAGCATTGACTCTTGGCCTTAGGGTAAGTCCCTTTTTGGTTTTGTTCAACTGAACCTTCAGTGCAGCGACAGGTTCCAAACTGCTAGAATAAAATTTTAAACTTGTCAATGGTTAAGAATTAACTCATGGTACAGTTGAGCATGTCATACTGGTTGACAATAGCAAAGCCATTAAAATGGAAATAGATCTTTGAAGTATTTCAGAAAACAGCTTATTCTGTGGAATTGTTTGTAAAATACATTCATTATGATGCAGAATTAAAAGGGAAGGCAGTCAAGAACAAACAACACTTATGCAGGTTTCTTCTTCAAATCACTAAACAAGTATGCCTGCAGTTAAAGCCACACTCTTGCTTCATCCAAGTTCTGCATTGCTACCATCAGCACCTATTCTTTAAATCAAGTTTAGTCTTGATAATCATGTTCAAACTCAAGTTCAGCAGTACAAGCTGATGGTAAAAAAAAAAAGGTTGACTGTCTTTTGTTAATCCTATTTGATGAGTTCTAGCTTTTGTCAATTATTCTTAACTGCAAATGAGTCAGACATAAATCTTGACTAAGAACTACCCCTTCACCTTCAAATTCAACATACTGAAAGAACAGATGCACGTCTTACTTCTTTCACTTTCAATGGTCTTCCACCAAGACTATGCTTGTTCAAAACCTCTGCAGCCTTTTTCATGCTTTCTTCCATCTTGAATTCAACAACACTGTGGGGATACAAGACATCTAAGAACATTGCTTATTTTTTAAGAGTTTCCTCATTTCTTGCTATAAATTCATAAGTGAACTTACGCGCATCCCTGATGAGATGATTTCACAGGCGAGTAACAGGGAGGAGAGGAGGGAAGAAAGAAGAAATAAAGTAAGTAAAAGCACAAAATATACACAAAAAATTCTTTTTTTAAAAGTCAAATCACATTAGTTAGCCCTAATAGCAAAAATAAATGTAATCTTACCCAATAAAGCCTTCAATACTTGAATTCCATAAGATATAATTTCTTATGCGTTAACAGGATTAAACTGTAGTTTCTGAAGTTGTAACAAACAGAACTAAGTCCCGATTCTCCAAGAAAAAAAATACCACACGCTTCATGTGACCTGTTCTTCTCTGTCATACAGCAAAACCCTTGCCATATTCTCTCACCCTAAATCCATATCCTTCAGTACAGTTAAGTATGCTCCTATTATTTTTCCCTGTAAGATACTGTCACTGGACTAAAGGACTTAAGTACCTATGAAGGCAATATACATTTACATTTAGGAATTGACTTCTGTTTACTGGCACAGGAAGTGTAGTTTACAAAACCTGCTTTTGCACACTGGCCTTACAAATTCAGCAAACCGCTACAGTGACGTCTTCCAAAACACAAGTATTACATTAATATTCCGTACCACTATACATACTGCTAGGGTCCATGGGTCATTCAAACAGCCAACGCCAACTGAACACAGTGGAAGACCACCCTAACACTGTTTACAAGGCCCCATCCCACCTCCTCCCCACCCCAAAAGAAGCTTTAAGCAATCCTACTTTATAGCCACTAAGCATACACACTCTCTACCTTCCTGACTTCGTTTCGTTCCACGCCACCATACAGTTACATTTGTCATGTAGAAAATCCACAGAAGAAATCTCTCAAACACTTACCCTTGACTTTCCTTCAGCGTCCATTAAGAGCTCCACGTATGTTACCTCACCAACTACAAATCAGATTCCAGACGACACATATACCAAGGGAGAAAAGCCAAGAAAACAATGGGAATTTAGAACAATCAACAACCGTGTATGGAGCCTCTGCCTTATAAGAAAGCCCAGAAACACTCCATGTTCTCTAGACCACAAAACTGGACAATTACAGGTATGCAGTAAAGTCTTAAAACAGTTAAACATGTTCTTGATTTTCCTCCACTTCAAAAGCCAGCTATTTCCACAATATCAATTTCCTTGATCTTTAATACCCACTCATTACTTGAGGCAATCCAAATCCATGGGAAAGTCTGCAAGAACAAGTTTCCTTCACTTTACATAGTATTCAATCTTGTCTCCATAGTCCAGAACTTGAACGGTTATTTGCTCTTCCCTGGATTTAAAGACAAACTTCCAAAAAGGGAGTCAGCCTGGACCAAGAGATCACTGACTGCCTACTATTTGTTTCAGCAGTTTTTTAGCCTTTTGTTAAGCCACAATAAAGTCCTTTTTTTTTAGCTTCAATAAGTAGTATTAAACAGTCTTCCATATTTGCTCTCAAGACAAAACTGTCTACAGCAATAAGGCAAAATGCACTGGAAAACTACATCTGCACCTTTCCTCACAAGATTAGGATTGCCTTTTTATGACCACATAACCATATCGTGTACCTCCAGAATACAACTACCGAAATGGCTGCTGCCTTTGAAGTGACTGGCATACAGAAGAATAATCGAAGAAAACATATTTTTACTTTTTCTTTTGGGTTTTAGAAGTCCTAGTTTTTAAAGTTTAAGACAGGAGGACTCCAAGTTGCATTATCCGACAGGCAGAAAGCAATCTTTGTGGGAAACCACGACCCAGTCTGAATATTGATAGCATACTTTGAGCAAGGAACTGGAGTCTCACATCCAAGAGTCTACCTCTTAGCAAGGGACAGAGAGAGGAAGAGGCATTCAGCCTGACCTCCCACAGGACCGGTCATTTATAGGACACCTAGTGTCATTATGCAATACGAACATCCTGAAAAGTCTCTCTCAAAGCTGGAAGAAAAGGAATGCTTAATGAAATCACTACTTTTTCTTCTAATCTCCATTTCTTATTTAAAAACAAAAAAATTTAGCAATATCAGCATTCCAGCCAAAGAACAGTTAGCTAGACAGAATAAACAAACTGATCCATTCACGTTTTTATGAGGACAGTGTTTGAGATTGGTAGAGGCTAACAAGCAAGTCCCTTTGAAAGGGACAGGGCAGATCAGAGTGTTCGATTACTAGCCATAGCTTCACTATCTAAACAATACTTCTTGAAATAAAGTCTAACAAATGAATTCCATCCTGTAATCTGAACAGTGTGAGATCATGTAGTATACATGGAATTGTTTCCACAGCCTGTGTAGCAAAAGGGACTGCACTGTCAACAGTCCTCCTGGACTAGTCCTTGGTGGTACATGGTGGCCGTGTAGCGTGTCCAAATATTCAGCATTACCAAGACATTCTGAAGCCATCCATCTCAACAGCAGCAGCCAGAGTCCAACCAAACTTTGATCAAGAATGCAAATGTGATTCAACAATTTATGTAGGAAGACAACAAATTCCCAGATTACCTACAATACAAAACCACTCCATTTCACAGAGGCCAGAAGTCACAGGTTAGAAGTCTGTGACTTTGCTCCTAGTAACACTACTGAGCCCTGGATTGAGGACCCTCCTCTCCCAACCAGTAATCAAATTCAGCTACAATTCTTACTTCAGATCCACACAAACACTTCCAAAGAAGTTTGCCAAGCTTGAACATAACATATTAAATATGATTTAACATTTACTCTTTTAACAAATCTCTGACCTCTGAACCACAAGATTTCCAGGAGTCTATCACAGCAGCAATTTTTTGTCACTTAGAAAATCTAGTATGTGCCAATTTTGCTCAATGCTTCACATTCAAGCCTTATAGACACCTATATTAAAAACTAAATATACATCTTGAAGTAGCTGTTTTCCTTCAAAGGACATCTGAACTTCCTGAATAGCCAAATTAAAAAAAAGCAGGGGGAGGGGAACGACACAAATAGTGTAACAGCTCAGTATCCAAGACACCAAGTCCAGAGTACAGAACGACTGCAGTAAAAATGCATTTTTTCACCTGAAAAACATGTAAAACGATTCAACATGACACTTCTTCCAGGAGACTATTGTTTGAGGCTGGAAAAGGAAACTTTTTTTTTTTTTTAAGAACTTATGCTGGGTCACATTTGACTTTTTTCTAGTTTCCAAGCCACAGTATATCAGAACATCAGGCACTGGGGATAAAGCAGCATTAGCAGACAAGGGTAGCCTACGATAGCACATAGGCAATTAAGCCATGGAAAAGTACCAACAGCAGATATTCCTGTACTAAACCTGCTTCAGAGGGCAAAAGAAATGCACAGTGATGCAGGCAGATTTTCGTTCTGCTAGAGAACAGTTGGCTTATATCAGGAAACATATCCTATATCCACAAGTGAAGAAATTTCACTCAAGCACAAGAGACTGTTACTTCAGGAACTCGAGTTTATTGCCGAACCAGCCTCCAAAGGGAGATAAAACTTGCAGAAAATACTAGCGCTAAGTAAATGCAAGTATAATTAAGGAACATGTACCCCATAGTGTCTTTAAGACTTAACTTAGAGCAGACTGATTTATTATTTAAAACTCACACTTGAGAAAGTTCAGAAACTCAGCGTTTCCTGAGACAAGCAGAAATCATTGTAATAACCAGAAATACAAACCAAAGTAATCTCCAGTAATCACTGCAGTCTTTTTTTTTTCTCCTCAAACTTTATATCCACTTCCCAAAGTTATCTATACAGAAAATTAAGATGTTCAAGCCAGGCTGGTCTGTCAGCATTCAGATACTCTCCAATGACTGTTCAGGAAGCTCAGATAAATACGTCCATATGGTGGCCTGAGGCATGGCTCAGATGGATTCACCTAGCCCTAAAGACATATCTGGGAAGTAACTAAGATAACAAGCTCAGACATAGATGTCAACTTTGAAGATTCTAAAGTTGGGCAATATGATTTTAACAGTTACTGACAAACCAAGAAGCTCTGAAAGGCATGAAAGGTGCAGAGAGGCAAGTCTCAGCAAGAGAAGCAGCACAGAAACTGAAAAAGGGGTAAATGCTTTATATCACAGCTATTTCTTTGGCCTACAGGGTCAAAAGTAAATACATAGAGAAGGAAGACTCTCAAACATTACCAAAACTATACAGATATCCCACCATCTTCTGAAGTAAAGAACTGCAAGCAACGTGACTGATGCAAGAGAACCCTGCCATCAAAAGCCTAATACTTCCAGCGTAAAGCAATTCAGAACTGGTCACAGCTCCTCCTTCATTTACAGTTTAAAGCTGATGACAGGCAACCCCTAAAAAGTTACATGGGGTGCTTGGGCTGGGGAGACAGAAGAGAAACACACTTTATACGTGTACAAAGCTTTAGTTAAAAGGGGAGGAGAAAAACATTCTTCCCAAAGTATAAACAGAGAAGAGTTCACAAGCTATTCTTTCAGAGTAGGGGAAGGGACATCTCACTTTTGCATGAGAGAACCCAGAAAAAAACACGGGTAATTTTGGCTCTGTAGAGCCCAGGCAGGAAAGAGGGAGTGAAAAAGATCATTGCAGCCATTGATGAAGGACAGTGCCTCCTTCAAAAAATGGTTAAGGCCAATGAAAATAGAGCAACTCATTAGCACATCTACTGAAAGTAAGGGAGAACAAGTCAGATGTGGAACAGCATTTCCACGTTGCTTATTCATCCCTTCCTCTTTGCCTACCTAAAACTTCAGTCTACAAGCACAACGTGACAGAATCTCAGGCACTGAAACCCAGGGGACTCTCCAGCAACAGCTGTCTTCAGGTACTGGAGTAACAGCTATTAGTACCAAAGTAACAAAAGTGCTCACCAGTATTAACATCTGGGACCGGTACTAACATCTGAGACTACGTACAACAGCAAGAGGGCAGGAGTTACATCTTTAGCAGGCCACAAAGATTCCAAACATTTCTGGAGATGGAGCAAGAAAGAAGGCAGCACATGAAGTTTAGCAGCTGCTGTTCTTCACAGAAAGTTTAAGCTGGGAAAGCTTCATTTCTTCTTTTCCTCATATCTGTTCACACATCCAGGTTTTGATATGAAGAGGTAAGCATGCCTGCTACAGCTCTGCCTTATGTAAATGTGGGTACAACCATGCTAATACAAACAGTCTCTGGGGTGTCCTGGAATCTTCCAATGTGACATGAACGTGGCCATGACTGCAACTGCTCCTGACTTTGCAAAGAGCAGAACATAATTATTGCCTCATTTTACAGCTAATCTTTCTCCTGGTGTTGTATGCCATCTTGCTACTCTGGTCAGGAAAAAGGTTTAAAATACAAAATTCTGTATTTCCTAAAGGAATCGGTAAATATCTCAAATTCAAACACAAATTCTTTTTTATCATATGGTACCACCTCACTTATGCCAGCTGCCATGAAGCACTACCATTTTTCTCCCTAAAACAGAGCCATTTGTTGGGGGACAGATTAAGACAGTTGTTTAGCATTCAATCATGTTTACATTTAGACTCCACTTACATGCTGAAGAACTGCTGCCTCATTGTTCTCCTGAAGCCATTCACCAATTGCCAGTTATCAATGCTGATTACATCAGTTTAGTAGAACCTTGTGTTTGTCAGCCAATACAAGGGAGTTCCAAACAAGAACATTTTTTAATTTCATTAATAACTATGTCATACTGCATACCTGTAATTGAGTTTCACCAACAAATACACTGAAATGACTGAACCAAGGCATTACTCTTGAGAGATGTCACCTTTAGAAGACTGTACGCATCTGAAAAACCAGGTTGCAGAAATATGAGCAGACCTCAAAGCTCATGTCTCCTAAACCATACTTACTGACGCGAAACAGCCGATTGAGGTGAACTCCTCCTACGTTCAGCAACCTGCTATGCCATTGCTGCTAACAGCTTCAGTCTTCACAACTGCCAAGCGATGGAGCAGTCATGAAACGCCTACCTTTACCCTTTGTGTACAGATCTGTTTCACATGCTCCCAAAACCTTGAACATTTGGCCTGTAATTCTTACACTTACAAACCAAGAATTCTAACGTTTAGATTTTTCCACGTCACATTCCTGGTTCTTGGAACTACTATGCCTTGTATCAAGAAGTACCGATTGAGCAAGTTCAAGCACAGCACAAGAGCACCAATTTGGTAGAAGTCAGTGACTAATTAGAACAAATCGCAACTACACAGCAGATCTAAACTGTTATATTTTAACAAGCAGTCCCAAAAACCAAGAACAATGCTTCTCAATATTTAGCATAACAAGCCCTGCAGACAGAATGGAGAGGTTTCAATGTTCCCCTAGGAGTATCTGCTGGAATGAGCAGCTGAACAGCAAGGCAGGAAACAATCTCACACCGGACTTTTCCATCCACGTGAACTGGAGAGAAACCACAAGACACTTGGAACGGAATTCAACATAGTACTTAAAATTAGACATCTACACATACAGATACTCCTATTAACCAATGTATCTTGTGTAGCAAAGGGAAAGCATAGTTTAAGGCAAGGGACCATTCATAATTAGGGCCTGTTAAAGCAGCCTTTCAGACTGTAATTCTTCATATTACAGAAAACCATTGCTAAATCTCAAGCATCATCGTTTCACAGCCTCTAATTATGGAAGCTTCCCAGGGCTTATAGTCCTGAAGTTCGTTACGCAGACTCAGTTCTATTTTGCCTCCAAAGACAAACATTTTGAAACCCTTTGGAAATTTGTTTTCCCATTCATTAGGCCACACCTTGTGAACACATTAACTATCATTCCTTACCTAGTTCAAACACAAGTGAACACTGATCACGATTTTGAGAGACATTTATGACTGAGGCTATGTATTTTAGAAGTGACCCACAAGAGGAATGGTTGTACTCGTTACTCTTAACTTGTTTTGAGACATTTTAATGATGGAGAAGCCAAGTATTTTCTTGCCACTCCGCTGCATTTCCAAGGTGACTTGAAAACTAGTAAGTTGGGCATCAGCTTAAAGAAATAACACTACATTTAGACTTGTCACTACCTGAGAGTAGTCAGCTCAAGTTCTTCATCTTCTTCAATAGATGAAGATGCTACAGTCAACAAACTAAGGCAGCTCCCATTGACATGGGACAGTTAAATAGAAGTGAGGAAGGGGGAAACACCATGAACATGATTTCCAAAGCCCTAACTGTGTTGCAGCACATGCCAAAGCACAAACCCGATTTTTCTTTTTTGCAGGTCACCCTTAAATACATTTTACTACTATCAAATGGCAGTATGGATCTTTATCTAAGCACAAATCACTACGATGTTTGGGGACACAGCTATATATGCACACACCAGATCAGCAGTAAATAACTACCTTTATTGTCCAAAAGACATTAAAATACTTCAGAAAGTTTTGTTGCATGTCAAGGCTAAAATCTGATAAAAGCCTTGTATTTTCCCCCCCCTAAGAAAAATACTCTTTGAAATCTCCGAGGAAGCACTATTAGCTATATGCCGACATGCCTATAAAGGAACTAGCCATCTGGAAGGCTGCCAGGGAGCAGATGTTGTGCAGCACCCAAAAAGGCTTCAAGAAGACCTTTTACAAAACTCATGTCACTAAGTCCACCCAGAACTTCAACTCTTAAGTTTACAAAGTCAGCCACAAGTAAGATGACAGACATCACTTGGCCACCTGAGTTGTACATTACCTTTCTCTTTGACCAGGTCTTTCAGAGACTGCCACTTCACATCAAATGGAATATTTGTAATAAAAGCTCGGTATCTTTTAGCAGGATTAGCATATGGCTCAAAGCGATTTCCTCCTCTTTTGACACTTTTCTCTTTTCTTTTTTCATTTTGGCTTGGTCGTTCACCTTCACTGCAAGCAAAGAAAGATAATCACACACATTAACTACTCTGGCATTTGATCAGTGTCATACCACCTCTCGGAACATAACTTGTTAAGTTCTTAAAACTAAATCAAAACTTGCAAAGTGTCATCCATTCACATTATTTGTAAAACTGTACACCTTTCAACCAAAGCTGGTACACATGGTACCAGTGCTACACAGTATATTGTAACAAAGATTTCCTAACAGCAGACAACTTGTGTCATGAAGACCCACTATTTTCTCCCACATATATCCAATGTAACCAAAGTTTTTGATTTCATAAGCTAAATCTCTTTAAAGCCGACCAAGCCTCCCTCCATCTCCTCGTGATGCTCCAGACCAGATGTCCACCCTATTTCCTCCTTAGCACACTATACTGCTTAAACACCTTTAAGTCAAAAAATATACTGACCCACCACATTTGTAGTCTTAGCTAGAAGAATTTTAGCAAAATATTCCTGTATCTAACTAAACACTCAGGTCAATGACTCTTGCCTCAAAACACTTTTTTTTTCCTCCTCCAATTAATACAGTCTTCGGACAACACAAATTCAAAGCCTCTGTGCATTCCAACAAACATACTGAATAGTTCTTTTAACTATTTCAGGATATCCGCTCTAACGGGTCAAAAATTTAAAAATTAGAATTTAAGACTATTTCTCAACCAACCTAGATGACCATCAGGTCTTAAGAGGACACAAATGCCACTGAGTAACAGTATTTAAAAAAACAGGAGAGTTAAACACTTCAGCCTCAGCCTAACATGGTTTCCTTTAACTAATCCAATTAATCTCCTTGCTCACTTTGTGCTGGTTGAGAAGATGCA